CGTCCCGATATTTGTCTTTGGTGATCTGGTCACCCTACTAAGGACCAGCCAGGAATGAAGCCCCATTGTGCCAGGGACTGTACAAATATACAGTTGCAGACAGTTCCTCTCCTGAAGAGCATACAACCTAAACAGACAGGGTCAGGGAAGGGACAGAACATAGAAGCAGAGTAAACAAGCTGATGGTAGCAAAGGGCATGACCACCACTAACCCAACAAATACTCCCCAAAGAGACTGCGGGTGGTGTGGATGGCTGACTGACACACACACACCCCTCTGCTGGAGCAGGGATTGAGAGAGACTGTGCTGTCTGTGGAGGGATTTCCACATCAGGGAAAGCTTAAACACAGGAGCTACATTGACTTCTTATTGGGCACCAGAAGGATGCACCTAATTTACATTTGAGTTCCCAGAAATGTATTAAAAGCATGTGCATGCACTGATATTTGCCCAGACTTGATTCTTCCTGGACGCAAACAGGAACTGCTTGTTGGGGTTTACTAGTTGTGAAAACCTGCAATTCAGCTTCAACATCACCAGCCGTTTCAGGGATTGTGCTGGCCAGACTGCTGCTTACAACGCTGCTGCCTGTGTTTAGCCATCCTGTCACACAACGTGCACCCCAGCTTTCAGATCTCCCACAGACTCATTCTCCCTGCTTGTTTCTTCCCTCCACCCCCCCTTAAGTCCCCCTTCGCACATTTGATAAATCAAAGATTGCGTGTTTAGTCTATAGCAGGGATTCTCAACCAGGGATACACAGAGGTCTTCCAGGGGGCACATCAATTCATCTAGATATTGGCCTTGTTTTGCAACAGGCTACATAAAAAACACTAGTGAAGTCAGTCCAAACTAAAATTTCATACAATTACTTGTTTATACTGCTCTACACACAGAAATGCAAGTACAATATTTATATTCCAATTGATTTATTTTGTAATTATATGGTAAAAATGAGAAAGTCCGCATTTTTTTCCAGTAACAGTGTGCTGTGACACGTTTGTATTCTTAGGTTTCATTTTGTAAGTAGTTTAAGTTAGGTGAAACTTGGGGGTACGCAACACAAATCAGACCCCTGAAAGGGGTGCAGGAGTCTGGAAAGGTTGAGAGCCATGGGTCTATAGCATCCCTTTGGCAACTGATCCACCGCAGCAGATTATTTCACCTCCAGCTCTCAGCACCTGATCGTCAAACAGGGTCAGGCTTCCATTGTGCCTTGCACTATACTGAGGTGATGGGACTCCTGCCCTGAAAAGCTTACCAGAGAGCCGCTAGGATCCTCCTCACCACAGCTGCAGCGCTATTCATGAGTGAGGCTCTTTGGCCTGTGTTAGGCAGAAGGTCAGACCAACTGATCATAAAGAGCTAAGGATTTCTGTACAACCAGCATATCCAGGCTCAAAAGCTGAAAATGCCAATATTGCTGAAGCAGCTTTGCCCAGCTTTTGAGGACTACTCCTGCCCAATAACGGGAGATTTGATATGGAGTGACAGGTGGAGAGATCAGCCATGTTGAGAGAGGATTTACTGAGCAACAGGAACCACCATTTCCTCTGAGTCCTCGGCATGTTGACTAGGTCACCTGCGAAAGAGGCCCAGCACCTTCCTTCTGACTTTCATTAGCCAGGAGAGACACGCATCGAACTCAAACGGTCACAGGGCAGAACACTTCCTGTGTCTCAGTCTCAGCAATTGTATCCAGAAAATAATTTTCAGACTCCTCATTGAGCAAGGCTCAACTGCTAGGGGATGCCAGTTGCAGGTGATCTGAAAACTACGGTGAAGAAATTGAAAAACAGTTATCTTTCCATACCAGGCATGTGACAGGACAAGCTGTCCCAATGCAACAGTTGCCAGGCCAGTAAGGAAATATTCCTGCAGGACCAGGAACAAGAAAATGGGGCTGTAAGAGCAACACAATCAGCAATAACGGCACGACCAACACAGGGGATTGCTGGAAGAGACCAGACATTCTGCACACATGCTCATGTTATCAAGCCCCCTTCCCCGCCCAATCAGACATTACAACAGATTTGAGAAAGGAGGTTGGGCTACTTGTTTTATCCCTCTAGGAAATGGGGTCACGGCTGGGGAGGGAAATGGGCCAATCAATATTTATTCTAGTTCTCAGTAATCTGCCCACTTGCTCTGAAGCAGCAAATGAGAGGAAATGGAAGCTAAGGCATATAATCTGCTCTCAATACAGATGTGCAATTTCCACTGACATTAGTGGATTTACTGCTCATGCCTGCACAGGGACTACTGTCTTCCCACCTGCAAAGTCTTGTATGCACCTGAGACCCACTATTCCTCCTCCACCACCACCACCACCACCACACACAGCCCCCACAAACCAAAGGGTTGCCATACAGAGGGTCATAGCTTGCGGACATTTTAAACCTATTCACTCTGTCAGGAATGGCAGGGGAACTTGTGGGTCTACAGTGCCGGAAAGCCTCCCGGAAAGGACAGTGTCCTGACAGAGAACATACAGTACTAACATAGCCCTTTGCCTACTGTATCAGAAACAGGTGATGTACTAGCATTCACAAGCAGGCAGCACTGAACTGGGCCTGAGGTATTTACAGAACATTGTAGTTTTAAACCTCACCTGGGGCACATGCACAACACAGCTGGAGAAGGACAGCATTAAGAGTACAGACGACCTGATGGATTTGCACAGTCTAAACTCGATTATCCAGAATTAGCGGAATAACTACGCATTTTAAGGTTTCAAGAGTGAGCTATATCCTACATATAGGAACAAATGTATGAAGTTTAATGCTCCAAGAAACTGTGGCTGAAGTTGGATTAGCTAGAAAAACCCACAGAAATGTGTGAAAACCAGGACAAAAACATTTTTTTTTAAAAGGAGCATTTTTACACCTTTCCTCAGCATTCATTAGTACATATTTTGCTAAAAAGGTTACACAGAAAATTCAATTGGTCCTTAAATTATTGGGCCAACTTTGTAGACCAAATTCAACTCATTCAAATGTGAAAGAGGGATTTGAGTCCCGGTTTAAGTGCTAATCTCAATACAACCTTACTCTGCAATTGCTACCAATGCCTCCACAATAATAAATTTGCACTTTACAGCCTTGTCAGAGCATTCACCTTTCCCGCCAGACAGCACTTCACTCATTGAGAAACTGCCTAGGCTATTATCCCCAAGAGGCAGAAAGTCTACCTCACAGACCAACCCCACAACCATCCTTCTCAGTCGCCAGAGGGCTAGGAGGAAGAGAGGTACAAGCAAAAAGCAGTTCTATGGCTTTGTCTTGATTAGGTGTGATGTTAGCCTGTTAGCTTTAACTCCACCAGTTTAGCATGTCAAAGGCAGCGTGCCTTGTTTATATTAGATTTTAAAACATTTTAGTTATATGCCAATACATGCTATCATCGCACCTTAAAATCCTAGTCTAGAAAAAGCCTCAGAGGAAAGAGTCTGCAGATCCCCTCTGAGGTATAGAAGGTAAAAGTGAGCTTTCTACACAGAAATAGTCTACAGAAATCTAGGCCCAAGTTGCCCCATTTCCCCTTCCCCACTATTGTCTGCACATCACTCCAATCAAAAGGCTAGTGGTATTTGACCAAAAGCTTCACGGATGAGCTTTCACGCCACATGGAAGCCAGCCAATCCTGTAGAAATGGAAGTCTCTGTTCATAATGGAGAGAAAAGCCAGGCAACTAACAGCAAACAGCACATCTTGGGTAGTATCATCTTCCTTCCCTGCCTCACAGATGTCTCCATGATACTCCGACTCCAGATCACTGAGAAGGGAGCAGGCAGAGACTAAAGAGAGTTGCCTGTGGAGATGGATTGCTAGGTCATTGGAGGTGAATCAGGAAGTACCACAGAACATCAGCGGCAGTTCCCTCGTGAGTTGCTTTGCTCTGGAGAGCATGTTCCCAATTCTATTCAGGCCCCTTCTGCCATCACAGCTCTGAAGTGGGTTTGTCGTTACTGAAACCTTTATATTTGCGGCTCTGCGAAATGTTACATGGCCTTTCTTCTAATCAGATGCTGTGGCAGCAAAGTAATCAACAAGGGACAAGCAAGGTAGAAAGAAAGCAACAGACATATAGCAAAGAACACACAGTACAATCTGGCTGTACTAA